TATAAGTTTATCACTTCTGGTAATGAAGTCAGCGATGGACTCAGACTAGCGGTGATAATATTGTGAGTGAGTTGTGTCAATATTACAAGCCCTGCAATCACTGTACAATTTATTTCTTTTTTCATTTAAACAGTTTATTAACTACAATTATAATAGATTTTATTAATATGAAATCACACAAATATTAAATTTAATATTATAGGGTAGGCAACTTTACGAAAAGTACAATCAAAGTGGCAAAATGTAATGATTAAATACAATGTAAGTCTAATGTAGAATTGATAGATTAAATGATGTGCTTATCCTGATGCCATACAAATGTTTAGTGCATTCTTAGAGCAAATACTTTTGAAATATAAACATTGCAATTCATAGAGTACAGGTAAGTACAGTACATTGTAAATAATTTTAAAATGAATTTTCTACTGTCAAATAACTTACTTATAATTAGTTATCTAATGATTTTATTAAAGAAAAGTAAATTTGTATTTATTTAATATTAAGATAAATATGATATATAACTTTATTACTATTACAAATTACAATATAAAACAAATCGCGATCAATTTATAATCAAGATAAGTACATAATTCTCGGACTAATACTCGTTGAAATTAAGTAAAATTCAACTATTGTGCAAAATTTAATTCATTAAAAAAAATCTTGAGCTAATGATTAATATAAAAATCTGTTAATAAGATTAAATTCTGGATAAATTTGTTATAAATATAAAGTACTTCAACACTTATTAACAAACTTTTAATAAAAAAAATTTTTACCCGCTTGGGGCGCGATCTCATGTCCCCCTAGCTATCTCCTTTCAGGTGGTTCCTATTGATTAACGTTAACTTAGCTATTGTTAATGCGACACTCTAACCGCTACACCACTCTAGGCCCCACCACCACCCTTTGCTAAAATAAGCTTTTCAATTATACAAATAATTAAATAAGTAATTCAAAATATGTTTTTAATAAATAATTACAGTTTCTAAGAATTTATATTACTTTAGTTTATTATACTTTTGTTTGTATTAATTTTAGGTCAAATACCTATTTACAGTTTCATACTGTAATAACTGTAATGCAGTACATTGTATTCAAATATCTATACTTGAATTTGAGTATAAGTTTAAAACTGTAAACTTTTAATTTTTATATTAATCAATAAAACAATTTTAACGTTAAAAAACATCGAGTAAATTTTGTGTTTTTTATATAAATAAACATAAAATAATTTATTTTAAATAAATGTCTGACAATTATTGCGGTAATTTCTGATGATAATAATAAGTAATTTAATAAGTAATTGAAAACATCTAAAATATTTGATAAATTTTTATAAAATTATAAATTAATATAAATGAATACACTATGAAAAGAAATTAAAATGCTAAAAATTGAATGAATTAAAAAATAATTAATTCTACATTTAGTTTGAATGAATTAACTTTTAAAACAGATTACTGTAAATATACCAGTGTACAGTAGTACATATACATATTTTGTCATAGTCACTACAGAATTCATATTTGACAGTCAAATGAATGAATTTTATGATTCAATGAAAACATTTTGATTTCATTAATTTCATGAAATCTATTGCGAAATTGAATAATGAACAAATTGCTAAAATTATAAAAATTGATTTGGTGTTAAAGTTTGCTTTAATTCATACATTAGTTATAATAACTGTTTGTAAAGTAAATCACAATTTATTGATGTCTTCGTTGAGAGTAGTGTTTGACTCGGTTTTGACACTACTTGCGGGTCTTGTCGTGCGTTTGGTGTCCATCCAATCGTAACAATTATCCACTTTATCACCAGATTTGGTCACAATCTGTTCAAACATATGTCGAAATGTCTCATATTTGGGCTCTTCGTCGAAACCGAGGGACCGAACGGCTGTTAAATACATCGCAAACTCTTGAGGAAAGTTAGCGCACAAGACCTCTGGTGTGGTCTTCTGTTTGATGGCACCGATCGTCTCAAACCGTTTGACAGTGTCTTTGATGTCGAGTCCACTCCACGGAAGGGTTCCCCTCAAGAAATATATCAACAGATGTCCGACAGCTTCCATATCGTCTCTACGGCTCTGCTCTCTATACAGATGTGTATTAATACTGATATATCTCGCGGTTCCCGTTAAAGACACCTCTTCTTTGTATGGGATGTGAGCGCCGTTTCTGTCCTTATATTCTTTGGCTAAACCAAAGTCGACGACATGTAATCGGTTGGCGCCGGCGGTTCCGGCCATTCCTAACAACAGGTTATCTGGTTTGACATCCCTATAGACTATGCGTCGGCTGTGAATGTACTCAAAGATATCCATCAACTGAATGGCCAAAAGGGTGACAGTCTTTACGCTAAACACTTGACCGCATTCCTCGAACTTAAGGCACAGATTGTGTCCCAATTGTTCCAAAACGAGCGCTCGATATGTGAGAAATTCACCGAAAAAGTATGTCTTTGGTATCGACCAGTGATTGCATTCATACCTCAAGAGCTGATACATACAGAACTCGTGACTTAATTGTGGAGTTTTAGTGTCCATTGACTCCAGTTTAACGACCAGTTCTTTATTAGTGTTCACTTCAATCACTTTATAAATGGCTGAAAATGAGCCAGATCCTACATATGCGGTCAACATATACTTGTTATTAGCTATGCATTTGCCGATCAGCTGCTTATCGTCTTCAGAATCTGTCATTTCTACTCAAATTAATCATCAATTTTTAAATATTTATAACAAAATCAGTTATAAATCATTTATAACTTATAATTAATAATTAACGTATTATTTGCTACTGTTTGCTCGTAATTAATAATTCTGATCAATTAGTCATTATGAATAGCAATTTAGCATTAATTTGTATACACCGCATAAAAATTAACAAAATGTCTTTCTAATAGCCCACTACATATAGTAATCTAATATAGAATTTCTAAATGATAACCAATATTCCCATTCGTTTAACTATAAAATTAACAAATAGGAAATTCAAAATCATTTTTTTTGTTTAGCTCTAAGTCTAATATTTATTTTAAAATTAGTTTTCAAATCTTTAGACAAGATTTTCACAGAAATATGTCTTCACTTTCCGAGAGATTTATTTCCTGAAAGCCTGCAAAAGATGACACCAATCGTGATGGCGAAGACAATGGCCATCCCTACCAGACTACCAATCAATTTGTACCTTCTGTTCCTTCCCTGTCCTCCAACTTCATCGTCAGGTTGTGGTTCGAGTGCCTCAACAGCGGCCTCTTCTGATTGCGTCACTTCACTCTCGGCTGACTTACCAATACTGCCACCAAATGGCTTGACCCCAGAGGATGGCCCTTCAGATGGCGTCATCGGACTCTCGTCTGACTTACCAATACTGGCACCGAATGGCTTGACCCCAGAGGACGACCCTTCTGATCCAAGAGCTAATGACTTCCCCAATGAATGATAAGATTTTGATTTGTCTACCGATTTGATGTCAGATTTGGGAGAAGACATGTCTTCATATTCTTTAATTTTTGATTTTACATCAGATTTGATATCAAGTTTTGGTTTTTCTCCTGATTTTGTATCAGATTTTTTAGACATCTCCTCGAATAGTTTTATTTTTGATTTTACATCAGATTGGATACCAAAGTCTTTCGACTCTTTTGAACTAATTTTGAAGTCCGAACTGATCTTAGAGTCCGGTTTTGTATCTTTGGTGTCAGACTTCCAGACATTTGGAGTGGACTTCAGATCTTTTCCGATTGGCACCGCTTTTAAGTCGTGGCCCTTAGAAGTACTCGCCTTCTTCTCGGAAGACTTCGAGTCACTCTGTGTTCCGACCTTTGGGTCCAAACTCTTCTCACTTTTTTTAACATCAGATTTCGAATCATGTGTTTTGGCCCCAGATTTTGAGTCACTCTTATCATCAGCTTTTGGTTTACTGTCGGTCTTGGGTTTGGATTCAGTTTTGGACTTTTCAGAAGAATCTTTTGAAGTCTTGTCAAAGCCTATGGAACCACTCTTTGAAGGTTTTTTTGAGTCTTTAGGGCCAAAGACATTAGGAGTTCCCTTTAAGTCTTTTGAGGCATTCTTTGATTCCATACTTTTTGGTCGAATAGTTATCAGTGAGGAGCTCTTGTCATCTACTTTTGAGCCCTTGTCTGGACTTTTGTTTGAAGTCTTTTCGGGACCTTTGAGAACATTCTTCGAGAGAGAAGTTGATTTCGAAGGATCTTTAGAGTCAAAGACATTTGGAGTTCCCATTAAGCCTTTGGTATCGATTTTCGGAACACTAGTTCGTCTAATAGTTGTCGTCGAAGAGCTGTCTTGACCTGTCTTCGAGTCCACCATTAATGGACTCTTTTTTGATTCATCCTTTGGTTTGTCTCCAGACTTCTTGTCAGACTTGACATCAGGTTTTGTGTTCGTCTAATAGTTGTCGTCGAAGAGCTGTCTTGACCTGTCTTCGAGTCCACCATTAATGGACTCTTTTTTGATTCATCCTTTGGTTTGTCTCCAGACTTCTTGTCAGACTTGACATCAGGTTTTGGTTTGTCTTTTATGTCAGTTTTAGGTTTAGACTCCGATTTTGCCTTTTCTTTGTCTTTCTGTGGTTCCATGACTTCCTCTGATTACTGTCTATTGTATAACTGAATTTAATTCATTTTTTGAAATATGTATTTAATTTTAAATATTTAACGGCTTTTATATAATTGCTGTTCAATTAAACCTTTGAGTAAGCTATACATTGTTAGAATGATTGTATATTATGTGCCTATTTTTATCATAACTTTTGCTAAACTGTACTTGATTTCTAATAATTTAGATTGATTCTAATTATAATGATTGTAAATTATAAGGTAAATTTTATATCAAAATTTCGATGTGTATATACTGTATATTATTCAATTGTCAATATTGTTTAAATCAGCAAATCAAAAATATAATAATTTAAAAAACTAAACTTTATGCAAAATAACATCTTTTTTGTGAAACTTCTAAAAAAAACTATGAATCCATTTAATGCTTGATAAATTCTTTGTTCACTTCAAGTGATTAATTTATTTGTCGTATAAATAGTGTGTATTACAAATGATTATAAAAAATAGTTATGAAATAAATAAAAGTCAAAAATAAAATACACGAAAAGACAGCAAGAATTAAAAAATCAAATAAAGTTTTCACTTCTTCTTTCCGATGGCAAAGCCGGCGCCAAAACTCTTGGAGACACCGAAACCGCCGCCAAATCCTATACCACCGCCAAACCCACCGCCGATTCCGACGCCA